AACAAACAAATAGTAAACAATTAGGTACATTATTTGATAATGCAGATTTTCTCCTGGTATATTCGTATGGCAAAATCGTGACCCTCTACATGTTGGAAATAACTCCCATCATCTATATGCTGGCCGGAGCTGAATTATTGACATTGTGAAATATCTCCTATGGTGTTGCATCCCAAGGGACATGATATTCAGCTTTTATTTCCTGAGACACTTGATTGGCAGCATGCGGAGAATGTAGTTTGGTCAGTGCTTTCTCATATATGATCTTGCTTTCTCTCTCGAGAAACATTCCAAGTTGATTAAAGCAAGCTTACTTTTTCAAACATTAGGCTGTCCTGTAACCATTTATAACACTTGGCTCTGAAGTCATATTTTACTTGTGGAGGCCCTGCGCAACAGATGACTTCAATCATAACGCTTGTAATGCCTTTCAGACGCAGACGGCCTTGAAATCAGGCTGGGCATGTTTGAAATGCCAGATGTTTAAAAAGAATTTTTAGCAACTGACATACAGGAACCTCTTTTGGCAATGTTTCAAGTGACCTATGTATCTTACATTCTTCTATAATTCCATTTATGGAAAAATTGATTCCATCCTCTTTTTTTAAAAAAAGATATGAAGGGCAATTTATTATGGTTTTGAGTAGATTGGAATTCTGATCCTCAGAATTCCACATGGGTCTGGAAGAAAATGCTGTTTTAACCAATCTTGGCACATGCTGTTTTGAGTAGATAGTGATGATTATTACAAATGTAACAGTGCCTGAAATCTAATCATCTTGAGGCTTGCTTTAAAATGCAACGCTAGCATTATTTCTTCTAGATTCAAACCAGAAATGTGGAAGGTGAGGGGGGGGGGGTTACATCTCCCCAGATCCCCAGCGGTAATACTGGCTGAGTGATTTGCAGTGCTGTCCTCCAGAAGATCATTTTCCATGCTCTGTGCGAATCCTGTCAAGTGTCTTTGTTGAGGTAACTCAAGAGACATAAATTAGAAACCCCAATGCTCATTTTTTCAGGAAGATTATGTATTTAATTCCTACCTAATATGACTTGCATAAAAAGATGCATCCAGAGCAGGATCCTTTGCATGTGGAATTTAAAAAAATATATAACATTAATATGTGCAAACCATCAATCTCATGCATGTTAATGAAATGATGAGTGATCCTACAGATAGATGTAAATTACTGGTCACATTAATTGGAGGGAAATCAGTTATCGATTGATTTGTTTGTTTTTCCACCTAGATGTGGACAAAACCATGTCTACGATGAGAGAAGGAATGCATTGCATCATTGCTGGGTGCTACAGGAGTGGGCAAGGTGAAACCCATGGGACTGAATTTATACTTCTGTTCCCTAAAACTCCATGTGCCTTGTTTTAGATCTATTTTCCTCATAGATAGCTCTAAAATCAGCAGCAATAGATCTTACCAATCAAACGGTTGGCAGTTCAAAGCCCGGGTCGGGGTGAGCAACCAATCTTCATCCCAGGTCACTGTCCACCTAAGCAGTTTGAAAACAGCTGTGAGTAGAGAAATTAGGCACTGCTTAAACAGAGAGATATTTTACAGTACCATAAAAAGGAAATACCAGAAAAATGTTCGTGATCAAAGGAAGAAGTCTGTGATTAAGGGCTCTTTGTCATAAAGGATGGAGCAACAGCACCCCCTGTGGCCGGAAACAAGCTCAACCTCCAAGATGCCAAAACTGGGAAAAATGCCAACATAATACCTCTATCTGTTGTCTGTCCTGTCTGTTTAATGGCAATAAATGTTTGCCGTGTATGTATTCTGTGATCTGCCCTGAGTCCTACAGGGTGAGAAGGGCAGAATATAAATGCTGTAAATAATTAATTAACTAATTAATTAAATATATCCATGAAAAAATCCCTCCCAGTACATGAATGCACACAAAGATATCCCCAGACCACTCCTAAAAATATCCAATATGCACCAGAAACCTCTATTTTTCTTGGTTTCAGTAATGCAAATATAATAATGCTTTCACAATTGTCTCAGGGATTTAAAAAACAAGGGATCCAGAGTTGCATGAAGCTGCAAAATGCTGTAAACTGGATGCTCCATTGGAGGGATGTGATTTTCATGGAACCATTCAGCCCCCCCCCCCTCCCCCAAAATATATTCAGTTCCCTGAAAAATTTTATTCTGAGATTGGGAAACAAACTGAAAAAAAAGAAGGTGAGATGGAGGGGGTGGCCAGTGCAGTGTAAGAAGACAAATTGACAAAAATCACCACTCAACTTGTTCTAATATTAGCTAGTTCTGCTTATTTATCCCTTGATAAAATGCATGAGCAAGAGTTAGATGTAATTTTTGAATGTTCCAGTGCAGTCAGATCATAATAAATAATATAATTAGCAGCCGGTTCTCCAAAAGAGCCAAATACAAGAAACAACAGTTATTCTGAGCTATGTTTCACAAAACCAGAGGGTGCCTGTTACTATGTTGCAGAGTATTATAAATAACCTTTTCTTTCATCTTTTCAAACCCTATAGGTCAGAGCTTTCCAAACGTTTCATGTTGGTGCACATTTTTAGGCTTGCATAATTTTGTGACACAGTAATTCTGTTTTAATAGCAAACTGGAGGTTACACTAACCCCTTATAAATGCATACATAAATTGTAATAACAAAATGTATGGAGGCACAACAGTATCTCATGAAAAGCTTTCATTTATATATTTTAAAATAATGATATATTGCTTATTGGGGACAGAGATCCAGCTGGTCAGTCGTGAGGCTCATCAGGGCATAGGTCCGCAGCCTGGGGGGGGGGGTCCTTCTGGATTCAGCACTGACACTTGATGCTCAGGTGTCGGTGGTGGTGAGCAGAATCTTTGCACAGTTAAAACTTGTGCGCCAGCTGCTACCATACCCCAAGAAGCCTGACTTGGCCACGGTAGTTCACACCTTAGTTACATCCAGGTTGGATTACTGCAATGCACTCTACGTGGGGCTGCCTCTGAAGATGGCCCGGAAACGGCAACTGGTGCAAAGATCGGCAGCCAGGTTGCTAACTGGAGCTAATTATAGGAAGCAAATGATGCCCCTATTAAAACAGCTCCACTGGTTGCCGATATGCTTCCAGTCCCAATTCAAAGTGCAGGTCATATCTTACAAAGCCCTAAACGGTTCAAGCCCTGCCTATCTCCATGACTGCATTCCCAATTTTCCTGCGCTAGCATTAAGATCTGCCAGGGAGGCCCTCCTCACAGTTCTGCCACCCTCACAGGCGCAGTTGGTGGGGACAAGGGAGAGGGCCTTCTCGGTGGTGGCCTCTGGCTTTAGAATAACCTTCCTACGAAGATTAGGCAGGCCCCCACACTGACCTCCTTCCAGAAGGAATTGAGGACTTGGATGTTTGGAGAAGCCTTTGAGAATGTATAGTCTCAATGGTTTGCAATTAATGCCACAGCACTGAACTTTCATCCCATGCCCTAGTTCATTAGCTAAAATTTGCACTATCCTATTCCATGCTCCTGTTTGCAGTTGGCTATGTTTTATGACAGTTCTCATCATAGATTACTGGGTGCTGTTTAGAGCTTAAACTTTTTAAAATGCTATTGGTTTTACCTTGTATTGTATTGTGTGTTTATTTTATGCATTGTTTTAGGCATATTGTGCCATATGTAAACCTCCCCAAGTCCCTTCTGGGAGATGGAGGTGAGGTACAAAAATAAAATAATAATAATAATAATAATAATAATAATTATTATTATTTCACTTAGACTCAGATTTTTTTCATTATGTTCACATGCCACAGCAAAACACTGCAGCCAACACACTAACATATCATAATACAAAGTTTGGAAAAGCCTGCTATAGGCCTTGCTTTTCTGCAGGTAAGGAGCGACACCTGGAAAGTATTACATTCAGGGCGCCATATAAACCTTTTAGCTATGGATTCAGAAAACTTGTTGACATGCTGAACCATCAGTTTTATTCTGACAGTGGCGTACAGATTTTTCCTTACCTTATCTTTTTCTTTCTAATCCAATGACTCTGACTAGGGGTGAAAAAAATGAAAGAAGTATGCTAGACCACAACCAATATGCCAGAGCCATACAATACACTTGGTCTTATATGCTACAGTACAATATTTGGAGGAAAAGCTTCTATCGTAGTTTTCAAGTAATTCTTGTTATATTTAATCCATTCACTTTTTATTGGCTGGAGTTACACTTAAAAATGTATCTGTTCCGACTTACAAACAAATTCAACTTAAGAACAAACTTACGGAACTTAGCTTGTTCATAACTTGTGGATTGCCTGTAATTATCTCTTTTTTCCCACCCTCCTGTCTCCCAAGCTAAGTAGTATTATCAAGAAGACTCAGGATACTTAAAAACTGCAAAAATTATAGTGCATAATCCATAAAACAGCAGTCACCGGATTATTGCGTCTATGTTCATTATTATTTCAGAAATTGTTAGGCACAGATGTTAATGTTTTGCTGTGAGAGCACAGTCATAAGAATGAAAAGGCCAAATTCCTTGATGTTACTCATCTTCACAATTTCAGTGTTATCTTTGCAATGACAGACTTAAATTTAATGAGGGTTGATCTCAGTTGTGGTCAGTAACAATTACAAATAAGTCATACTTTTCAGGGCTCTCCTTGCATATCTGGAGGGAACCTCCATTCATGTGAAGAGTTTACTGTAAATCTGTTGTTGTTTTTAACATGATGGATAATAGATAGCAAGACAGGCTTTATCTTCTCTCTCCTTTTCAATGTGCTATTACTCAGTGAAGGCAGCTGCTGTTTACCTTTGCTTATTCCAGGTAGGCATATACAGCTAGAGTTGAACTTCATATCTCTGCTCAAGATTTGTGTAGTGCATCATTTAGTGCATTCATGCTCTGTAACCTGATCCTGTGTTATTCTGCAAAATTTGGAAAACAATTATTACAACTACTAAAATCATCTAAAATGTTCTAAATTCGTTGTTCCCTGTTTTCACTTTCTTTCTCTAGATGGGCTTGGGACATGAGGAAGGATTTGGAGCCCCGTGTTTGAAATGTAAGGATAAGTGTGAAGGATTTGAGCTGCATTATTGGAGGTAAGAGGAGATGCTTCATTCTTGAATTAAATATGGAAATTGTAAGTGAGCTGTGGCCAACATAATAACAAGCATATCTCTAAGACCCAGGCCTTGTTTGTACAGAATGTTAAACTGTGGTGTATATATAGGTACACAACCAGAGAACCCACTAAAGTGAAAGAGTTGAGGGCTTCTTTTAAGTTATGCCTCTCTAGACAAAGCCCATAAAGCTCAGAGTGAAAGTTCAAAACAGAAGCTGATGGAGACACAGATTCCAAACAGAAAAATACAGTTGATTTACATGAGTATTTTCAAGGGTCATAATTGTCAGGGGAGACGAAACTGGATATAAATAACACATGGTCTGGCAAGCTATTGTTGTGAACAATTACTCAAAAGCAAGTCTTGCCAACTTCCATGGGCCTAGCTCACAGACAGGGATGGAAAAGGCTTCAGTTTTACAATGTGGAGTAATTAAAGGCCGAGATGTTAGAGTGGCTATGATGTTCAACGAAGTAGCCAAATGTTTGTGCACTCATATACTATCAGCCTCCCACATTTATGGGTTTGAACTCTCCTGATTTGATTATTTAAGGATTTGATTAAAATATCCACTCTAGAAAGTTCTCTAGAAATCTTTAGGTCTTTCAGTGTGACTCCATGATCTGCTTCTGCCGGAACTTGACCACAGTGCAGTAGAAGACCTAAATATTCCTAGAGAAAGCACATATCTAGGAATCATACAGTGCAATTGCATAGTCAGTTTCTAGAGGCAGTTTACTGTAGAGTCAGAGTGGAAGACCTACAGATTCACTAGAGAGGTGTTTTCTTAGCTAAAACATCATGAGGGTTTTTTTTATTCATGACTTTTCCTCTTTTGAAGGAATCTTCTGGCCTTAATCCTGGCTGGCGCTATCTTACATTCTAGGCATATTGTATTGTTTAAGTTTTCTCATATGTAATGGGCATTTTCCTATTTCTGCATATCAAACTGATCTCTACATGCCCATAACTTTACAGGCTTTCACCAATTACTGCCCATGGGACATGTTTGATTATACATCCCAGCATTTGCAGCCTGCAGGATATCTGGTTGTGCTTAGAGATACCATCCTGTACAACTGGAGACCACAAAACTGGTGATAGCTGGCAAATCTATGAACCTCTAGCCTGGATGCTGTGTCCTTCTCACACTTTTCTTCTTAGCTTACACACTCTTATTCTCTGCCTTTTTCCTGGTTAAAGCAAACTATGATTGTTCAACCTGAGTTGAATAAACTGGCTGGAAAAATCACTACCTATAAAACAAAAATGATTTATTTAATAAAGAAGGACATTCTATGGTGGATTGTCCCACTTGCTTTCTCTGATAGGCAAGTGTTCATGAGGCAACTGGATTGTTTCCATGCCATTTCTTTGTGCCGTTTCCTTCATTCAGCCCAGTCCAGTATCTGCCTCCACTTGGAGAAGATGTTACATTGGGAGCTCCTTCACTAGATCAACAGACATTTGAGCTATTATTGGTATCTTCTTTTTCCTCTTTCTTTTTTGTTTCTCTCTGTCACTTTTTTCCTTACCCCTTCCACTTAACACAGATCCATCACACCACTAAGCATCATCCCTAGACCTTGTTTATAGCAATTGTGGAAGGAGCTAGACAATCACACATCATTGGAAAGAGAGAGTAAGAAATTCTACTTCCATTTCACATTGCTGAATCTTGGGCCTATTTGCATTGCACAGTTATAGCACTATTATTCCACTTGAGCTTCATGGCCTCCACCCTATAAAATCCTGGGATAGGCAGTGAAGGGAGGGAAATTTAACGTCACTTGCCAGAATGCTCCATTGCCTCAACAATAGGAATCCTAGCAGCTAGAGTGGAATCATAGCACTAAAATTTTGCAATATGAATGTTCTCAGTTGCAGTTTGACTTCCCTTCTCCCACTTCAGTTGCTTGAGCAACTTGAGAAACTGCAAGTCACTTCTGGTGTGAGAGAATTGGCCATCTTCAAGGATATTGCCCAGGGGACTCCTGGATGTTATCCCATCATGTTGGAGGCTTTGCTCGTGTTCCCTCATGAGACACTGGAGCTGACAGACAGGAGCTCACCCTGCTCCCCAGATCCCAACCGCTGACATTTCGGTCAGCAGTTCATTGCGCCACTGGGGGCTTCACTTTTGTGGCTGATTATAGTCATTGAAACCACCTCAGCAAATACTTCAGTTTCTCAAGTCACTCCTGACACAACAACAACAAAAAAAGTCCTGACAACATTGTTTCAGCATTATATCCTCATTGGGCGATCTTAGCAGAATCTGGCAAACTTTCCCAGTCCAAAATGTTACAGTTTCATTTCTTACTTTTTTGAAAATGTCTGTAAGTTGCCAAGTTCAAAGACGGTTGTCCTAGAACTATAGGATAACCTGTCCCAGGATTATTTTCTTTTCAGTGTAGTGGTAGGTTTAGATGATCCACTTGTTGTTGTTGTTGTTCATTCGTTCAGTCGTCTCCGACTCTTCGTGACCTCATGGACCAGCCCACGCCAGAGCTCCCTGTCAGCCGTCACCACCCCCAGCTCCTTCAAGGTCAGTCCAGTCACTTCAAGGATGCCATCCATCCATCTTGCCCTTGGTCGGCCCCTCTTCCTTTTGCCTTCCACTTTCCCCAGCATAATTGTCTTCTCTAGGCTTTGCTGTCTCCTCATGATGTGGCCAAAGTACTTCAACTTTGTCTCTAGTATCCTTCCCTCCAATGAGCAGTTGGGCTTTATTTCCTGGAGGATGGACTGGTTGGATCTTCTCGCAGTCCAAGGCACTCTCAGAACTTTCCTCCAGCACCACAGTTCAAAAGCATCGATCTTCCTTCGCTCAGCCTTCCCTAAGGTCCAGCTCTCACATCCGTAGGTTACTACAGGGAATACCATGGCTTTGACTAGACAGATCTTTGTTGTCAGTCTGATGTCTCTACTCTTTACTATTTTATCGAGACTGGACATTGCTCTCCTCCCAAGAAGTAAGCGTCTTCTGATTTCCTGGCTACAGTCTGCATCTGCAGTAATCTTTGCGCCTAGAAATACAAAGTCTGTCACGGCCTCCACGTTTTCTCCCTCTATTTCCCAGTTGTCAATCATTCTTTTTGCCATAATCTTGGTTTTTTTGATGTTTAGCTGCAACCCAGCTTTTGCGCTTTCTTCTTTCACCTTGATTAGAAGGCTCCTCAGCTCCTCCTCGCTTTCGGCCATCAGAGTGGTGTCATCTGCATATCTGAGGTTGTTAATGTTTCTTCCTGCAATTTTCACCCCAGCCTTGCATTCATCAAGCCCCGCACATCGCATGATGTGTTCTGCATACAAGTTAAAAAGGTTGGGTGAGAGTATGCAGCCTTGCCGTACGCCTTTCCCAATCTTGAACCAGTCTGTTGTTCCGTGGTCAGTTCTGACTGTTGCTACTTGGTCCTTGTACAGATTCCTCAGGAGAGAGACAAGGTGGCTTGGGATGCCCATCCCACCAAGAACTTGCCACAATTTATTATGATCCACACAGTCAAAGGCTTTAGAATAGTCAATGAAGTAGAAGTAGATGTTTTTCTGAAACTCCCTGCCTTTCTCCATTATCCAGCGGATATTGGCAATCTGGTCTCTCGTTCCTCTGCCTTTTCTAAACCCAGCTTGAACATCTCCAGCAAAGGATCACCGCCTTGTTGTGGCGCTGGAGCTTGAGCACCTCAATGATGTCATGAGCGAAACCGTGAAGGGCCACCCAAGACGGGACGGTCATGGCAGAGAGGTCAGACCAAGCGTGATCCCTGGGGAAGGCAACGGCAAACCACACCAGTATCCTTGCCAAGAAAACTAAATGGACCAGTACAACCAGAGATGATCCACTACATGTCATTAAAGAACCTTTTTAGAAAATATTGTAAAATCGAGTGGACAAAGAAAGTACATAGTTAAGGAACTATGGTACAATTATGTTCTTTTCCACTAGATGGGAGTGTAGCATCTTTGACAATATGAAGTAGACTGTGAAAACCTATAATGCTGTCTTAAGCTGGGGCACATTCTTAACATACCTGTTAGGAAATTCATCTCACTGCTAAGCAAAAGTGACAAGGTGATAAATCTCTTATTGCAGATGACCTTGATGCATTTAAAGAATTGCTTGGGATCAAATTCTGTATCCTAGTCCAATTTTAACTTCGAATGTGTTTTAATGGTTTTTTTAAACCATTTTTAAAAACAATTTTAAACCTTTATAGTTAATCCTGTTTTAATGTTTGCATATTTGTATATTTTAAATTGTGTGCTGATTCTTTTGTGTTAAACAGCTTTGATTCTCATCCAGGAGAGATAAAGTGGGGCATAAATAAATATAACAAACAAATAAATAAATAATCTCTGGGGGTTCTTGGCCATCTGTCGGGGGTGCTTTAAATGTGATTTTCCTGCTTTTTGGCAGGGGGTTGGACTGGATGGCCCATGAGGTCTCTTCCAACTTTATGATTCTGTGTATTGTCAAAGGCTTCCAGGGCCGGAATCACTGGGTTGTTGTAGGTTTTTTGGGTTGTATGGCCATGTTCTAGAAGCATTCTCTCCTGACATTTTGCCTTCATCTATGGAAAGCGTCCTCAGAGATGCTTAGGTTTGTTGGAAACTGGAAAAATTGGGTTATAACTGCATGGAGCACCATTACCTTCTTGCTGGAGCAGTACCTATTGATCTACTCACATGTGTATGTTTTCGAACTAGGTTGGCAGAAGCTGGGGCTAGCGGTGGGAGCTCACCCTGCCCCCCAGATTTGAACTGCCAACCTCTCGGTCAGCAAATTCTGCAGCTCAGCGGTTTAACTCACTGTACCACTGGGGCCTCCATCTAACTGCTAGGAAACCTTAAATCAGGCAGAGGTGGTGACATCTTGCCTGGTAAAGAGTTTCATTTTTCTCAGGCTCCAAGGGTTGAATGTCAGCCTACTAGCCCAGTTCTCTGCCTGTACAGACAATTTCTCTGTTAATGAGGAGGCACATACCTTGTGTTCTACATTTAATCAATTCTTGTAGTATCAACAAAGAGGATGTCGGGATGCATTCTGCTCCAGCCTATTTGTTGTCATTTGGTAACCCTGGAGGCCACCATGGAGTGGAAATTGGCAGCGTGTCAGCATGTTGTGCATTTATGGAGAGCACACTTCTTCATGTAATGTTTAGGACTGGTAAGGTAATAGCAGTAGATTTCTTCTTTAATTGGATGCTCCAGGGTCAAAAGAACTCCTGGATATAAATAGAAGCTTTCTAACAGTAAGTGTTACAAGGTATTTGATACACACTTTGGCCTTTAATTAATGGGTTGTTCTACTAATAATTATGTTGCCCAGCCCCGTAGAATGTATGTGATGAGATATGATGAGAGACTTTTAGTTTTCTCTTTGGATTGAAACCAAATACCCCTTCCACCAAAGATGGTTGTGTTTTGTCCCTCCTCCCACCCTACTACTATATAAGAAAAATAAGGAGCATTCCTGTGCAAGGTGAGGTTTCTGTTGGGAATCAGGAGCTGTTAGACTCAAAATAACCCTCACTTGGGGATGATTCCACAAAAATATAGCAGAGTGCCAGAAGCACAGTTCATAACCAAGAGAAGCTTACATGTAAAGAGCAAGGATTGGTTTTCATTCAACAGGATGGAACAGGATTGCAGATTCACAACTTCATAGGTTCTAATATGTTTATTAAAGACAAAAGAAATCAGTTCTGGATAGGAAAGGTTCTTGGAGGTTACTAGCTTCACTAAGCTATCTTCTAAGGAAAAGAAAAAGGAAAATAATAAAATAGCCATGTATACTTCATCTTGCCTGGACAATGGCAAGATGCCTCCTCACTCTAGAAGAACAAAGGCAAGAGAGAGCCAGAAAATGGAGACGGGCCGCATGGCCATCCCAGGGCAATAAAAATACCTTTAAAGAGGAAATTATGTATTCCCTGAAGAGATCACATTGCTAAGTATTCAAAGGGGGGGGGGGGTGAGACAGTGGCATGCAGGATGAGCAAGACAACACGCCTTATAAGCCCCTTCTTAAGATAGGCATGTATAAGGAATTTGGTGAAGCAAACCCTCATTCTTATCTATGTAGGCTAACTACTCATTGAGGGCTAGAGACTTGTGCACTCAGGGATGAAACCCAACAGATTCTAACCCCCTCACTACACAAAATGATAACTTTCAGATAATGCTTCCACTGAATGTTGTATAAAGATCCACAAATGCACCACTGTGGCAAATACAGCTTACTTCACTCCCACAGAAGGATAGAGATCCCTTCACAGATGTGCTTTGATGATTCTTTGAAAGCGGTGAGATTTTGCTATCCTTTTAAGAAAGATATACTAAGCATATTTAAATATGTAGGAGCACTGTGGTGGGAAAAAAAAGGAAAAAAGAGAAAAGGAGGGGAATTGTCAAAGCAAAACAATAAAACAACATGTTAAAGAGGTTGATGTACAAAAGGCAATAGTATGTAATAAATGTGATAAATCAATAAAAAAAATTATAAAAAATAAATAAATATGTAGCTGCTACTAGTTGAGGATAACACAGGGTTATCAGTTTTCCCTGCTTGCTTTGCAGTTGGGGAAGCTCAGTAGAGCAAGGAGAATTCAAAATGGCAAGACAGAGGGCTCCAGGAGGGACTTCTTTCAGGCCCCTTATAGGTCACATTTCCTATACCAACAAGTCAAATTTGTCCCAGATGTTGAAGGATTTTCTAAACCAATGTTTCCCAACTTTGAATATTCTCTTGTTGAGCTGCCACATACATTATTCCTGGCCTTTGTTCAGATGGTCTTGGGATGACTGAAGTTGTAGAACAACAAAAACTTAAGACATGGAAGATGTTTCTAAGAGATGAAACAAATACTGGGATGCTTGTGAGAACTAACAGGAGTTTTAGACAAGGACTCTGAGAGATGAAGAGTCACATTCCCATTAAGTCACAGAAATCTTTTGGGTCACATTCTCTCAGCTTTAGAGGAAGGCAATTTCCACTGATTTAATCTAAGCACAAAGGTTCTAGGATATAGTTTCCATATGTCAAAGTCATCATAAAAACACATAACAGCATGAAATACTTGGAATTTACTGACTCGCCTGAACGTGACTTACATAGAAAAGGGAGAATTACAGTTCAGAGTTCATTACATTCTATGTCCAAAACTGCAAATTTGAAGCTCTGTCCTCTTGGATTACTCTGCAGAGAGGAGATCCCCAGCCAAAAAAACCAAGCAAACACTAGAGATAATGTCAATGGTATAAGAAAAATGATATCTTTGTGCTCAAGTGTATTCTGTGTTCAAGTCAGTTTCACCAAATATAGAAGCAAGATATAATCTGGAGATTTGTACACATCACTGGAGTAGTAATCTCATGTTAAAGCTGTTTCTGATTTTTAGCCTGTTGTTGTATGGCTTTAGAATTTATGATGGTTTCATACTTACTTGCTCTAATGCATTATTAATAAATGGTAATGTCACAGTACAGCAGTTATTGACTTCATATTGAAATCTGTTGACTCGTTTTGTTTGTGTTTTGTTTTGTATTTTTGTTTTTGTCGTCACACTCACAATCTTTTGAATAGTCTCTACATTTTAATGTATCTGGATTTGTTGTTATAACCACAGCCTAATAATGTTTCTCCTGCATTACTAGAAAAATTTGCCGAAACTGCAAGTGTGGCCAAGAAGAGCATGACGTTCCCACCAGTAGTGAGGATGACCGTAAAGTGGGGAAGCTCTTTGAGGATACAAAATACACAACCCTTATTGCAAAACTGAAATCGGATGGGATCCCTATGTACAAGCGCAATGTGATGATACTGACTAATCCTGTGGCTGCCAAGAAAAATGTGTCCATCAACACTGTCACTTATGAATGGGCCCCTCCAGTTCAGAATCAGACCCTGGTGAGATTATATCACAATATGGGAGGCTACTGTAAAATTGAGACAATCTTTTATTTCATTATGAAGGGAAGTTGATACAGATCATGCAATACGAATGTTTTATTTTTGTTTTGGGGCAAACTAACTATCCCCAACTTGGTGCTCTCCAGGTATTTTTGAGCTTCAGCTCAAAATAGTTCCAACTGCCATAACTCATAGTCACATCTATTGGGAGTTGTAGTCCAAACATCTATGTGTGAAAAAAGATCTTGGAGTCCTCGTGGACAACAAGTTAAACATGAGCCAACAATGCGATGCTAAAGAAGCCAATGGACTTTTGGCCTGCATAAATAGAAGTATAGTGTCTAGATCCAGGGAAGTCATGCTACCCTTCTATTCTGCCTTGGTCAGACCACATCTGGAATACTGTGTCCAGTTCTTGGCATCACAATTTAAGAGAGATGTTGACAAGCTGGAATGTGTCCAGAGGAAAGTGAATAAAATGTTCAAGGGTGTGGAGAACATGCCTTATGAGGAGCAGCTTAAAGAGCTGAGCATGTTTAGCCTGCAAAAGAGAAGGCTGAGAGGAGACGTGATGGCCAGGTGAGGGGAAATCATAGGGAGGGAGGAGCAAGCTTGTTTTCTGCTGCCCTGGAGACTAGGATGTGAAACACTGGCTTTAAACTACAGGAAAGGCGATTCCACCTGAACATGAGGAAGAACTTCCTAACTGTGAGTGCTGTTCAGCAGTGGAACTCTCTGCCCGGAGTGTGGTGAAAACTCCTTCTTTGGAAGCTTTTAAACAGAGAATGGATGGCCATCTGTTGGGGGTGCTTTGAATGCAATTTTCCTTCTTCCTGACAGGGGTTGGGCTGGATGGCCCACAAGGTCTCTTCCAGCTGTAATTCTATCTTGAGGGCACCAGCTTGGAGAATGTTGATATTATCTAAGTAACGAAAACCTAAGAGTTCTGCTGAAAATATCAGTGTGGTAGCATTGGTTCTGTTTGTTATCTCCACTTATAAGTCTTTGGTGAAATATTATTTATTTATTTATTTATTTGGTACACTTGTATACCGCTAATTTCTCAGCCTAGAACGGCGACTCAATTGCGGTTTACAGCATTTTAAAAACAATCTCAGTTTAAAAAACATATACAAATACAATAACAAATTATTGGGCCACCAATAATAATCCCATATATCTCAAGTTGAAATCATAATCCAGAATTCGTTGTCCATATTTCCTGTCCTTAGTCACCAGGGTTCGATTGCCACAGATTAGCCGAATGCTTGTTTGAACAACCATGTTTTCAGTCTCTTCCGAAACACCATCAGCGAGGAGGCTGATCGTACCTCTAAAGGGAGGGTGTTCCAAAGCCGAGGGGCCACCACAGAAAAGGCCCTGTCTCTCGTTCCCGCCAACCGCACTTGTGAAGCCGGCGGGATAGAGAGCAGGGACTCTCCTGAAGATCTTAGGGTCCTGGTGGGCTGATAGGCTGAGATACGTTCGGATAGATAAGTTGGGCCAGAACCGTTTAGGGCTTTAAAGGCCAACGCCAGCACCTTGAATTGAGCCCGGTAGCATATCGGCAGCCAGTGGAGCTGGTTCAGCAAGGGAGTTGTATGCTCCCTGCGATCAGCTCCTGTTAAAAACATGGCTGCCGCCCGTTGGACTAACTGGAGCTTCCGGACTGTCTTCAAAGGCAACCCCACGTAGAGAGCGTTGCAGTAATCAAGGCGGGATGTAACCAGAGCGTGGACTACCGTGGCTAAGTCGGCTTCCCAAGGTACGGTCGCAGTTGGCGCACAAGTTTTAACTGTGCGAAGGCTCCCCTGGTCACCGCCGAAACCTGGGGTTCCAGGCTCAGCGATGAATCCAGGATCACCCCCAAACTGCGAACCTGTGTCTTCAGGGGGAGTGCGACCCCGTCTAACACAGGCTGTAACCCTATACCCTGTTCGGCCTTGCGACTAACCAGGAGTACCTCTGTCTTGTCTGGATTCAATTTCAATTTGTTCGCCCCCATCCAGACCGTCACAGCGGCCAAGCACCGGTTCAGGACCTCGACAGCCTCCTTAGTAGCAGGTGGAAAGGAGTGACAGAGTTGACATCATCTGTGTACAGATGACATCGCACTCCGAAACTCCGGATGATCTCGCCCAGCGGCTTCATGTAGATGTTAAACAACATGGGAGACAGTATTGAACCCTGAGGAACCCCACAAGACAAAGGTTGTGGGGTTGAACAGGAGTCTCCCCATAACACCATCTGGGACCGACCCTCGAGGAATGAGCGGAGCCACTGCAAAACAGTACCTCCAAGACCCATCCCCGCGAGGCGTCCCAGAAGGATACCGTGATCGACGGTATCGAAGGCCGCTGAGAGGTCGAGCAGCACCAACAGGGACACACTCCCCCTGTCGAGCTCCCGACGCAGATCATCCACTAAGGCGACCAAGGCTGTCTCGGTACCATGCCCCGGCCTAAAGCCAGACTGTGCCGGATCCAGATAATCCGTGTCTACCAAGAATGCCTGGAGTTGTGAGGCCACCACACGTTCCATGACTTTGCCCAAAAAGGGGATATTGGAAACAGGCCGATAGTTGACGAATTGAGTGGGGTCCAGTGATGGTTTCTTCAACAGCGGTTTTATTACAGCTTGCTTTAAGCTGGCTGGAATTTTGCCTTCCCGAAGGGAGGCATTCACCACCACCTTCACCCACTCGGCCAACCCCCCTCTGGCCTCCTTTAGAAGCCAGGATGGGCAGGGGTCTAGGATGCATGTGGTAGCTCTCATTCCTCCAAGCACCTTGTCCACATCCTCGGATTGAACCAATTGAAATGAATCCATCAAAACCGGACAAGCAGATGCTCGTGTTACATCCTCAGAGACTGCCGTTAATATGGTGTCCAGACCAGAGCGGATCAAAGCGACTTTGTCTGCAAAGAACTGAGCAAAGGCTTCACAGCGAACTGCCGAGTCATCAGGGCACCCATCCTGGATGGTGGGTTTTAAAAGGCCTCTGACAACTCGGAACAGTTCAGCCGGACGGTTCTTTGCAGACGCAATAGTAGCCGCAAAGAAGATTTTCTTTGCGGCCTTTATTGCCGCGGTATATGCCCTTAAAAATAACCACATTTTAACTTACCAACTGTTAAGAGGTTCTATGTGAGGAACAGAAACATAATGGGAATATTCGGTTATGCAGGAGACATAGGGTGAATGGGAAAATTGTGTTAATGGCTAGGATTAAAAATTGCATTAGGGACGTTCACTGCCACTTCAGATGATTTATGAATTCCTGAACCAGCCATTCTGAAAAGACTTCCAGAAATGGGGCATTGCCTCGAAAAACCTGCACAATTTATGTCATTGTTTAAAAGCTAAGAAAAACACTCAAGCCTGCACATTTTCTGTTACTGTATATGGTCAGAATGAATTTGGAGTTGTCATCCAAAAGGAAAGCTCCCTTTGGTTTATTAGCAGTTCATCTAGATGGAATAACTGGATAGCCTTGTAGGGTTTTCCCAAAAAAAACGGTTCAATCTTGAGTCAAGTTTATGTAGTGTCATGCTGTGTGATCTAAAGCAGGAGGCCAGAGAGCTGAATATATACAGCTTGTAATCATAAGGCTTTAGTGTAGTTGTCTGTAGTTATTTTATCAGTTTTTAATTATTACAGTATACTTCTCGTATTTTAATCCAAGTATTGAAAAAGGCTAAAAAGTCTCTTTTATACCATCACACACACATACACACTTTCTTTATTTGGCGGGGAAAGCCCAGAAATTTGAAAAATCATGCACTGTAACTATCTCTAGTACTGTTTAGTTAACTAAACAGTACTAGAGCTGACACTGCACTGGAGTAAACAGAAGCATTAAAACTATGAAACATTTAAAATTCAGCAATGCCTATATTTAGTACCACTTAAATTCTTCCAGTTTCGACATCTCCTTCCACCTTACTGTCCATTTCCACTGACCCATCACAGCTTTTCTGCTAAGTGCTCTTAAATCTGCCTGTAGTCCTTAGCCCTTTTTGTGTGTGTTTAGAAAGCTGGAATCCCAAGGGCATCTGATAACTAACTCTAGCACTCCCTTTCGGTCTTTTCTTCTAGGCGAGACACTACATGCAGATGCTTCCGAAGGAGAAGCAGCCCGTGGCAGGCTCAGAGGGGGCTCAGTACAGGAAGAAGCAGTTGGCAAAGCAGCTGCCCGCTCATGACCAGGATCCATCCAAATGCCACGAGCTGACTCCTAATGAAGTGAAGCAGATGGAGCAGTTTGTGAAGAAGTACAAGAACGAGGCGCTTGGAGTGGGAGATGTTAAGCTCCCGAGTGAAGTGGAAGGGAAGGCTGGGGAGAAGAAAGTCCCAGCGAATGGAGAGAAGGGCACCACAGCCACTGTCGGAGCCATGGAAGGCAAGCTGCCTGGACAGAAGGCACCCCAATATGTAAGTTCTCATTCTCTGTCTCTCTTTCTGTGTGTATGCACACTGCAAATACATGGTGTAAAAAACCCACTGTATTTCTATTCTTTGTAGCTTGATATTGTGCGGCTGTTCTTTCCACTCTCACTACTTTCTTTATTAAGAATTTTGGGAGCTTGCTTTCTCATTTAAGATCTCACTGTTTTAATACAACAGGGCAAAAACCTCTGGGGTCTTACTAAACTCTTAACTCTGCTACAATGATAATGTTGAAGGGGGTGGGGGGGAGGAAGGAAGGGTTGGGGTGATTTAAGGGAAAAGAAGGCATGGAACTGCCAATTCTTCCAATTGGTTATACAGTGGGCCCTTGATATCTCCTGGGGTTTGGTTCCCCTGCAGATACTACAATTCATGGATGTTCAAGTCTCATTATATATAATAGCATAGTAAAATGATGTCTCTTTTCTAAAATGGCTTAATCAAAGTTGACTTTTTGGAACTTTTTTAAAGTGAATATTTCCCACAAATATTTTATAGAATTTTTGGGTATAGAGGGCTGGCTGTATTTTGAATCACAGGCTTTGAGAATTAAATTGGATCTTTGAGGACATCTATTCCAGCACCCCTGCCCTCCGCCCCAAAGATCTTGCAGGTGTCTGTTCAGGCCTCTGCTTCAGTATCTTATGATCAAATCCTAATATTTTGCTAAAACCTCTGTTTTTGCTGTTTCTACCCATTTGTTTCTGTTTTTACCTTTGGAAGCAACAAAGGGTAAACCTATTCCATTGTTCAGATGATAGCCATAGAGCTCCGATCCAAGACCTCTTACAGTAACATGACAGACTCAGTACCTGCATAGAGATCAATATTATGTCTCTCTAGAGATATTTCATGAGTGTGCTATATTTAAACAGAGGCCATTAGTTTTCAGAAGAAGTTCTGTGGTGGCAGTAGCGATGTTTTCATTTCAAGGTGAAAAACCAATGAACCCTGCAGGAAAACAAACCTCCGTAGATGATAAGGGAGGGAGCAACATGCTGAGTGGAAGCTGAGAAAGATCTGGAGGCTTGCTTCTTCACTCCCACTGTGAATTTCAATGGAGAAAAGTGTCACTGCAAAAAAAAAAACAAAAAAAAACCAAAGATATCATGGCTTCACTTATCATTAGCTGGAACTATAGAGTTAACAGGATTTGGACACCACAATACGTCCTGCCACATGGGCCCAGTTGAGACATAATGCTAAACGATGAGTGGGAATTGTGTAGCCTTCTAGATGTTATTAGGCTCCCTAGATAGCATGACCAAATGTGAGGAATGCTGGGACTTCCAGTCCTAAAATATCCAGAGGGTCATGTGATTCCTGACCCTGCCAAATCCAGTGCCACAGGAAAGTATTTTGTGATGCTTCAGGCTTGCAGTGCTCCCTTCTCCAGTCTTCTTCCAAGGGAACATCTGTTTTCTGGGTTAAATTGAAATTTCTTATTATTTATCAAGCAGGTGTTCTGGTTACTTTAAACTAGTGGTTCCCAACCTTTTTTTTTTTTTTTTTACCAGGGACCACTCTCCAACATTAGTAACAAAAGGGTTACACATCAGTTTTTGGTCAACTTTAGATTTGGTTTGGTTATTTGGGTGCTGATTCAGAAAATTGCATTGGATAGACCACATCAGCTCTAGTTTCTGATACAGAACATATGCCATCCAGTAGTTGCCATCTGTTCGCCCACAGAAAACTATATTTAATAAGCCTCTGCACGATAAGAGGGTTTCACGAGACCAGTCACTCTCGTTGCAGTGGTATAGTAACAGTGAGGCCATGGACAATATTTTAGTTCTTGCAGACCACTGATTGTCTGGTAAAACAAGTTAATATCAGGAAGTATAGGTATTGTTTTGATAAACCATAGTTTGGTGTTTAAACAAGGAGCAGTTTGTTCATTTGGGAAATATTGCTAAACTATGGAAACTCTAAAAGTTAGTGAGGACACCTGAAAAGAAGCAGTGTTGCATCTAGATTTTGCCTTTTGCTCACTGAAGTTTCGCAGTGACATGGATCTGTGAAACTATCTTTGCCAGGCTCAGAGAACTATAGACCCAAGTCTGATCCTCTAGCTCCAATTAAAAGAGCTCAATTGAATCAGTTGGATATACATGAGTGTTGACCTTTTATTCCACTGTTGATTCTTAATCATACACCACAGATTTTCACTCTGCTATTGCTTCTTGGCAATTTTGAAACTGGTGGAAATTCTATTTAAATACAGCATGATGCCAAGGTAGTCATGGAGAAAGAATGGCTACCACTGTGCTATATCACAGAAACTCAGAGCATTTGATCTCATTTGCCATCTGTATAGTCATCTAAAGCAAAAGAACTCGAGTAGCTTCTCAGATAGGTTTTGGTACTCATGAGGCAGATAACAAATATGAAAACTAAGAGAGCTATCCACATTGTTAAAAGGATCAAGCACCTCACTTCACCTCATGTTTAAAACAAACTTTTTAACAGAAGGCATGCATCATCACCAAATGGACCATTTTGGCAGGGTTAGTGAATCGCCCATTTGCCAAAATCTTTTCAGGTATTTATTTTACAGTTCTTTAGTTTTCCATCTTTCCTTCTAAGATGATAGTCCTAAAATATCTCACTAGCTGACAGAATTTTTTAAAAGCACTAAAACAGTAGCTCTTGATTTTATTGGAAACAGGCCATAGGATGTTTTTTTCTCTCTCACCCTACAAAACAAAACTCATGGTCAATGTTTTTCTATATAAGATATGGGTCTGTGTCTCTTTTTGTTACTTTTGATATTATAGAAGTCTTTTATTAATCGGAAATGATTCAGGGAGGAGATACCACATCTTTGCCCCACATCTTTGCATCAGTCTTCATTCCCTTCCTCAAACCCCCAATTGGTGAGCCAATGAAAACAGAAGACGAAGTTCGGAGTGTATTGCTAAAGTATCTACTATTTCTAGATGCCCCTGAGTGGGGCATTTTACCAAAATTGGGCAACTTTCATATTAAACAAAAAAAATGAGTCTGGGAGGTTGAAAAAAAGCCCTGGGAGCTAACTTGTACTGATAATAATTATTTTTCACACCCACTCCTCTAAACAGTGGGGTATCAAAGACACACAGTCATCAAACACAGAGACAATGCAACAAGATACTGTAAATGTACATATTTATTTATATATTGAGCCATTGTTTTGAGGAATTCCAAGGTGTGAGTACAATCTTGAGTTACATCAGGAGTGGGGAATATGTGGCCCTCCAGATTTCTTTTAGCACTCAGCCCAAGATCCATGGAAGCAGATGTAGTTCTACAGCATCTGGAGGTATGAAGATGTTCTCCAGATACTGTTATACATAACATTTATAATATATGCTCATTTGTTATCCCCCCTCCCCTTCTCCCATATGGGACTCAAAACATCTGACACCATACATCAAAACAATAGCTAAAAATTATCTGAGAACCCAATATTTAAAAAGCATTAAATAGAGCCCTCTTAAATAAAACATTAACTTTAACACTTAAAATCACATGAAAGCCTATCTATGGTGGTATGCATCATAGTCTTAAGTAAGGTTCATGATAAAGTCACCCATTTATTGAATAAAGGAGCTTGAAGCTGACCTATCGGGTTGTGTGTGTGTGTTTCAGTGAAATCTTATTTTGGAAACAGAAGTGTCTTTTGAAGAATCTTGTATGATTCTGTGGTTTTCTTTTAGTCCTGTTTCAGATGCAAACTGAACATGAAGGAGGGTGATCCAGCTGTCTATGCTGAGCGTGCTGGTTATGACAAGCTCTGGCACCCCGCTTGCTTTGTCTGCTGTACCTGCAATGAGCTTCTGGTGGACATGATCTACTTCTGGAAGAATGGAAAGCTGTACTGTGGCCGACATTATTGTGACAGCGAGAAACCTCGCTGTGCTGGATGTGATGAGGTAAGTGAGATGACCCCCATGGAAGAAGCCTTGGAAACCTTTTGCCAATAAGAGTTGACTGGATTCCTAATTCCAGGGATCCTCAGCGAAGAATCGTCCAGCGGAGCTTTTCCGAGTTGTCAGGGGCCTGTTAAATCCGCCAAAAAGCGAGGCCTCGGACAACTCGGTGGCTCGCTGTGAAGCATTTGCTCGATCCTTCGCGGATAAAATTGAGCGGATCTGGTCGGGTTTTGGCGTCATGTTAACGGCAGTCTCTGGGGATGTAACGAGAGCATCTGCTTGTCCAGTTGTTGGATTCGTTTCAATTGGTTCAGCTTGAGGATGTGGACAGGATCCTTGGAGAGGTGCGACCCACCACATGCATCCTAGACCCCTGCCCTTCCTGGCTGATCAAGGAAGCCAGAGGGGGTTTGGCAGAGTGGGTGAAGGTGATGGTTAATGCCTCCTTACAGGAAGGAAAATTTCCAGCGAGCTTAAAACAAGCTATTATAAAACCGCTGTTGAAGAAACCATCACTGGATCCCACTCAATTTGACAACTATCGGCCAGTTTCCAATCTCCCCTATTTGGGCAAGGTCATGGAACGTGTGGTGGCAACACAACTCCAGGGGTTTCTGGTAGACACTGATTATCTAGATCCGGCACAGTCTGGCTTTAGGCCGGAACATGGAACTGAGACAGCCTTGGTCGCCTTGGTAGATGATCTGCGCAGGGAACTTGACAGGGGGAGTGTGTCCCTGTTAGTTCTGCTGGACCTCTCAGCGGCCTTCGATACCGTCGATCACGGTATCCTTCTGGGGCGCCTCATGGACATGGGGCTCGGAGGCACTGCTCTGCGGTGGCTCCGATCCTTCCTTGAGGGACGGACCCAGAAGGTGTTATTGGGTGACACCTGTTCGGCCCCACAACCGTTGTTGTGTGGAGTCCCACAGGGTTCAATCTTGTCCCCGATGTTATTTAACATCTACATGAAGCCGCTGGGAGAGATCATTCGGAGTTTCGGACTAAGATGCTATATCTATGCAGATGATGTCCAAATCTGTCACTCCTTCTCACCTGTCACCAAGGAGGCTGTCCAGACCTTGAACCGGTGCTTGGCTGCTGTGTCGGACTGGATGAGAGCTAACAAATTGAAATTGAATCCAGACAAGACAGAGGTCCTACTGGTCAGTCGAAAGGCCGAACAGGGTATAGGGTTACAGCCTGTGTTAGACGGGGTTACACTCCCCCTGAAGAGGTTCGCAGCTTGGGAGTGATCCTGGACTCATCGCTGAGCCTGGAATCCCAGGTCTCGGCGGTGGCCGGGAGAGCTTCTGCACAATTAAAACTTGTGCGCCAGCTGCGCCCGTACTTTGGGAAGTCGGATCTGGCCACGGTGGTCCACGCTCTTGTCACATCCCGGTTGGATTACTGCAACGCACTCTACGTGGGGTTGCCTTTGAAGACTGCTTGGAAACTTCAACTAGTCCAGCGAGAAGCAGCCAGATTGCTCACCGGAGCGGCGTACAGGGAGCACACCACCCCCCTGTTGCGTCAGCTCCACTGGCTGCCGATCCAATTCCGAGCACAATTCAAAGTGCTGGTTTTGACCTATAAAACCCTATACGGTTCCGGCCCAGTGTACTTGTCCGAACGGATCTCCCTCTACATCCCACCTCGAAGTTTAAGATCTTCTGGGGAGGCCCTGCTCTCGACCCCACCAGTGTCACAAGTGAGGCTGGCGGGGACGAGGAGCAGGGCCTTCTCAGTGGCGGCCCCCCGCCTGTGGAACGCTCACTCCCCGGGGAGATTAGATCGGCGACTTCCCTTCTAGCATTTAGGAAAAAACTAAAGACCTGGATGTGGGACCAAGCTTTTGGTCACTCTGATAACTAATTCAAGGACCTGGCGATAGATAAGGACAAATGGAATAGAATGGATGTATGGACTCTGATATATGGACTCTGACATGAGATTGTTTTAGGATTTATGATTTTATTGTGTATTGATGTTTTAATTTAACTGCTGAATTGCTATATTTTTGGATTATCTGTTGTGTGATTGGGCATTTAATTGTGCCCTCCCTGTAAGCCACCCTGAGTCCCCCTCGGGGTGAGAAGGGCGGGGTATAAGTGAATGAAATAAATAAATAAATAAATCCATGCTGTCTGTGATTGGTGTTGACCAATCAGATGCCTCTGACAGGTAGGCCATAATGGTCTTTGCTATTCATTTGACCCAACATTTGATATTGAGATCAATACACTCTTTATGTTGGGAAATGTGTGAGATAGTAATAGATCTCTCAACTAAAGTAATTAGAAGCTGAACAGCATGCCGACAGAGAGAGGCCCCATCTACACTGCCGTACAATCCAGTTTCATAATCCAGTTTAACTGCATTATATGGCAATGTAGACTTCTATAAAACAGTTCCATGCAGTTAAACTTCATTAAGAAAGTGTATTATATGACAGTGTCGGCACAGCCAGAGAGAATTTAACAAACAGAAGAAATTAACTTAGTTATCTTGGTAAAAGGTATTAAAGTAGCTTTACATGTTCAAAATCTCATACATGAACTTATGGAAGAGAGTAAGGAAGAACGAGAAAATAGCTACATGTCAGAGAAATACAGGAAGAAGACAAACAGGAACATCCAAATTAGCAGTTAGTGTCTATAAGTATACAAAGATTGCTAACTCTAAAAGAAAATTGAATATGATGGATCTATTGAGCTACTTTTAGTCATTCATAGATGCTCCACAAACACCTCAAAACCCCACGCTATCCGGAAATAATTTTTGTCACCATTTTGGTGGGGGCTGTGGAGGAAAACAGAAATATTTTGGCTTGTTTTATGAGGATGGAGCCAATAGTGCAGCAAGGGAGAAATTGGCCCCTTGGTTCTTATACACTGCTTGTAGGAACCCAAAGAAAAGGAGGAAGGTCCAGGCCCACACTTCTCCTTTGTATCAGATGAGCACCAACCACCTCAACTCTCTTTTCTTTTTGAGGGATCTACTCTCATTTTAACATAATGTCAAGGGGAAAACTGGCCAAGTAGGATACTCTATAGTTCTTCTGTTCAGGTTTTAATTCAAGAGAAAGACAGATTGGGTGACTCATAATGCTCACCTGTACATTTGAGGTAGACTTTGATACTTGGATTTTTCCTACTGCTGTATATGGTTTAGGAGGACTTCACTGGCTTCTCTGGTTCTGGAGCAGACCACAAAGTGAGTCTTGGTTTATTAAGTGTTACAGCAGAAACATAATCCTACTGCTAGATTAATGCATATCTGATATCCTTGTCTTTCTGCAGCTTATATTCAGCAATGAGTATACCCAGGCAGAAGGTCAAAGCTGGCATCTGAAACATTTCTGCTGTTTTGATTGCGACTGTATCTTGGCTGGAGAGATCTACGTCATGGTCAAGGAGAAGCCTATTTGCAAACCATGCTATGTGAAGAACCATGCTGTGGTAAGAGGATCACTCTTTCCTGCGGCTTAGCTAGAGGAGTATATTTCCTAAATGACACAGAATTTACCTCTTTTATTCAGAGTTCAAATTAAAACTGATACTAGATGGCCTGGTTTTCCATGAGAATAAAGAACACGCCCAAAGTCCTCTACTATATTATATTAGGCAAAAATGTCTTTGGGATTTTTTTTAATGCAGGCATCAATCATTATGAAATCCTGGCAAAGTCTTCTGAGAAGTTGTAGTCTGGATTTAAGAAAAAATATGACATTTAAGTGTGCAGTAATGCAGTGAAAACAGTAAGAAGTGGACTGACAGTGGGAAAATACTTTAACTAGCTGCGGAGCCAAGTTATTCATGTGTGGATTTGAACATCCATTTAGATAAGAGTGCATTTATGTGAATTGCATTCAGGTTTGTAAGGATTCTTTTTAAAATGAAGGGAGGCAATGGAAAGTGAGAGTACTTTCAGCTGGAACAGTGTGTTGAAGCGATAAGTTTCTTCCCCAGAGTTGATCTTGCCTCTTATGACCAAGTCATTTTCCCTGGAAGTCTTGAGATATTCAGTGTGTTTCTTTTTAAAGTGTTTCATGGACTTCAGGGGATGCTTCTCCGTCCCTTGCAACTTAAGCCAAAGCAAAGCAAATGGCTAAAGCAAGCAGAATAATGTAGGACATTTCTGGAATGAAGATTCTCAGGTGGTATTTGCCCATAAATTGCACCCAGTCCCGCAAGTGTGCACAAAAATCCCTCTCCAAACCCAGCAGGAACCCCATAGCTTCATTTCCTTGCAGCAGCAACAACATTAATAATAGGGGCCGGACTTCACACAACAGGTTAAATTGCTAAGCTGCAGGAGATCCTGCCTGCCAATCAAAACATTGGCAGTTCAAGCCTGGGTCAGGGTGAGCACCCGACTGTCAACCCCAGCTTCTGCTCATCCGGCAGATCGAAAACAAATGTGGGTAGATAAATAGGTACCACTTTAAGTGTGGAGTTAATAAAGGTGCCCATAAGGACAGTGGGAGGACGTTTACGGACGACAAAAGCTCCTTAGCATGGAAAATGGAGCGACAGCACCATCACCACTCCCCCCAGTGGCCAGATTCGAGCACAGCCTCCAGATGCTGAAAATGCAAAAAAAATGGGAAAAAGCCTTTACTTCAGTTTATGTATTGTCTGTCCTGTTATTTGCCGTATATGTGTGCTGTAATCCCCCCTGAGTCCCCTCAGGGATATAGAGCAGAATATAAATAATGTATGTAGTAGTACTAGTAGTAGTTGTTGTTGTTGTTATGTCTCTTCCGATACTGGTCTCCAACCCTTGCCGTTGCTCTCTGTGAGTTGTCTGGGGCTAATGGGAGTTGTAGTCCAACGTCTAGAGGGCCATGCATTCCTTGCCCCGGCTATAAAGGATGTAGAATCAAAGCGTGAGCCATTAATGCATCAAAAGTTACATAGTTAACATCAATTTGTCCACATTTAATGACTTCCTCTGAATTGTCTTTGATCTACCTACGCTATTGTTCTAAGTATTTATATATATATATATTTTAAAAAGATGGATGTTTATTGATAAACTTCAACATATTTCTGCTGTGTGGTTTTCCTCCTCATAATGAGGACTTTTCATGATTTGCTTGGTTAGCTTTTAAACAAATCTTCTTTTATTATTATTTTTTTAAAAAAACTTTCCCATCAGCAATGGAGTGCTTTGTACTGCCTTCCCCCTTTCTTCTGCCCTTTTATCTGAAATGAACTGGCTTGAAAACACTTCCTGATATTTCTTCAGTACTTCTTTTTCTGAAGAACTTGCTGGTGCATGACACTGCAAGTTTCAGAGATGAAAACAGAAAAGCCTTTGCAGGAAGCATTTCCATGGCCCAGTTCTTTCAAACAGTGCAGAAATGGGTTGAAACTGAGGGTCTGCTACACAGCTGTATATGGGCCCCAGCCCCAGTATGATTAAATGATGCTCCATTAAAAAAAACACATAGGTTCCTGCATTAATAAAATCAACATTTTTAGGACATGATGTTCTTTTTTTCAGGTATCTTCTCAATATAATTTAGGCTGTTATTGTGTACACAGGGATGAGGAAAGTGTGGCCTCTGGATGTCACTTTGGTGGCCCTGAAACCCTTTTGCCAATCTTCTCAAGCCCTCTAAATCTCCTCAAAACTTAAAAAAGTACTATTGTCAGGTGGTATTTGCCCAGAAATTGCACCCAGCCACCCCCGCCCCCCCAAATGTGCACAAAGACACACAAACATCCCTCTCCAAACCCAGCAGAACCCCCATAGCTTCATTTTTTTCAACAAGAACAATGGGTTGCTGTGTGTTTTCTGGGCTTTATGGCCATGTTCCAGAAGCATTCTCTCTTGACATTTTGCCCACATCTACAGCAGGCATCCTCCGAGATTGTGAGGTCTATTGGAAACTAGGCAAGTGAGGTTTATATATGTGTGGAATGTCCAGAGTGGGAGACAACTCTTGTCTGTGAGGCAAATGTGACTGTTGCAATTGGCCACCTTGATTAGGCAAGGAATACTCAGAGGGGGGTTGTTATTGCCTTACTCTAAAATATAACCCATGAAGTACCAATGTCCTTTGGCAATCCCCCATCCAAGTACTAACCAGAGATAGCCTTGCTTAGCATCCAGATTGGATCTGGTGCCTTGGTAAATAGTTCAGTATGCATCCCCATGGTACAAGACTCCTGGCTTGTTGTAAGACATTAGATTTTTTTGAGTTGGCATGTGAAGTTAGTGTTGCGGTTTGTTAGTTTATATTGAATCTACACAGCAGTCCTCCTAGCTCCAGATCCCAAGTTGATTTGCACAGAGTATAAAGGAAAATGTCTTTACTCTGGAGTAGTTAATACATGTAGCTTTATAAAGAAAAATACAGTAGCCTTGAAAACACATTGTCCACATTGTCCATCGCAGAAGGAAAAAAAACTTACAATGCATTAATCTGCTTCTTTCCAGCAAACCTTGTAGCATAGTTCCATCTCTGATTACTTCATTTCACCCACTACCTGCATCAAGAAATCTTCACCTGATATACATCCTAATCAGGGAGTGGTTCTTCCTCAACACACACATATATGCAAGAGATGATTCTTGTCAAGACTTACAAAATCATATACTGTAACAGTTAGTTCCCTTTTTCTTATTAGTAAAAGCATCACCAACTAGCATCTTGATCCATGGACAGGAGTATTTTTCTTCCTCATTTGTTTTTAGTTATTGAAGCAGATGCCCCTGGCAAGAGGAGCCAGCTGCTAAACCTAAATGCTTTTATCACACTGGGTACTTTTGCATCCCATCATGCCAAATTTGTGCTTTGAAGTAAATCCCATAGAGTTCAGTTGCACTCTTTTCAAACTATAAGGACACAGAATTGTAGCCTAGTGTTCCACTAGATCAGTGGTTCCCAACCTTTTTTTTGACCATGGACCACTCTTAAGCATTAGTACCCGAAGGGTTACAAATCAGCTTTTGGTCAACTTTAGATTTCGTTTGGTTATTTGGGGTACTGATTCAGAAAATAGCATTGCAATTGCAGTCACCATCTACTTGCCCACAGAAAACCATATTTAATAAGCCTCTGCACTGTAAGAGGGTTTCGCGAGACCAGTTGCTCTCGTTGCAACGGAGAGGCCGCTGACCATATTTTAGTGCTTGCAGACCACTGGTGGTCCACGGACCACAGGTTGGGAACCACTGTGCTAGATAATGCCTTCTGCATAGGATTTATCAGCTACAGTCAACAAAAACCTATTTTTTCATGTATTCTCACATATTATAATTCTCACATATTATAATTTTATGATTAGTCAGAATGTGTCCAGAAGACTAGAATGGAGTAGCCAACATTATATTTGCAAAGACAAAGATTAGATATGAATGAAGGATTGAATTTAATACACGTATTTGCTTTGAGTACTTTTTCTTACTACCCATGTTCTTTTATATTGTCACTCTTTCTCCAGTCTGACTCCATTCTGGCTATTTCACATGTCTATTTTAGCATTGAAGGAATTACCATATTTCTTCAATTGTAAGGCACAAAAAAATTCTTATAATACACCTGTGATTCTAAGAACACACTCTATTTCTAGAGATGTTTCTGTAGGGAAAAAGTGTGTCTTAGAATTGGAGAAATGAAGTAACTGTAATATCCAGAGTCTTTAAAGTACTGAAAGAGAGAGGAATATTCCTCCAAGCCTAGTGTTTCTAATCTACCCAATACTGCCCCCAAGTGGAGGCTTCCTGGACATACGCAACATAATGGCTGCCACTGCATTACTATCTTAAAAAATGGGCAGAAATTGATAAGCTGAAGATTTTGCCTTTTTTACCTGTACTGTCACACTGAATAGGTGCACCTCAAATATCTCCTTGTCTAGAGCAATTTCAAAGGCCAATTCAAAGTGCAAATCTGCTAGAGAGACAAGACAAACATAGATGATTCAAGTTTTGCTTAGGGAGGTGGTTATGTTTAGCCTGAATAAGGTTAAGAGTTAATGTGATAGTTATGTTCAAAAATGTGAAAGGATTTCTATTGAGGAGGGGAGGCTTGTTTTCTGCTGCTCCAGAGACTAGGACACAGAGCAATGGATTCGAACTCCAGGAAAAGAGAATCCACCTAAACATTAAAAGGAACTTTCCTGACAGTAAGAGTGATGGTAGGACACGCTGTCTCAAAATGTGTGGAGTCTCCTGCTTTGGAAGATTTTAAAAAGAGACTGAATGGCCATCTGTCAGAAGTGCTTTGTGTGTTCATGGCATGGCAAAGGGATGGACTGGATTGCCATTGGGGTCTCTTCCAACTTTATGATTCTAGATATAGTCTAAAATGACTAACTCAACTGGGTTCATTGCGACAATTGAGTTTACAGCTGTGTCCCTGACATTAGCACATGTTCAAACATGTAGGCTTTGCTGTCTTCTAGAAGTTGAAACTAATGCTTTCCTCCCTCTTTTTAAACTCACTAGATCTGCCAAGGTTGCCACAATGCAATTGACCCAGAAGTGCAGCGTGTGACTTACAACAACTTCAACTGGCACGCAACCACGGAGTGCTTTCTGTGTTCCTGTTGTAGCAAGTGTCTCATTGGCCAGAAGTTTATGCCAGTTGAAGGAATGGTTTTCTGCTCGGTGGAATGTAAGAAAAAAATGGTGTCCTAATGGGAAGGAAGCCAAACCCAAGCCACATTTCATCATATTTCCAAGTCCTCTGCATTTCTACTGTATTGGGGCATTTAAAAAAAAATCAAAACTACCACTAGGCAAATTCCAAAGATTTTGATGTTACTCACCTGATTGCTTGCAATTAAAACCTTAAGCACTTCTGTATTCTTACTCCTTTTGATTACCTGTTCCAAAACTTTGATGAGATATAGGGATCCTGGTATTTGTTATACTAAATATTATGCAGTAGTCATTTTATGCATACAACATTTTATAAACAATCTTAGTAAAAAAATTAAATGTTCTGTGTTGTATTCATTATGTATTAAATCGGGGGTGAGGAGTCTATTGCTCTTCCAGTATTGGATTCTAATGCCCATCATCCCTGGTCTCTGGCCATGTTGGCAGGGACTTTTAGGATTTGCATTCCAAAAATAGTCAAAGGGCCAGAGGTTCCTCTACCTTGTCTTAAATGAAGGGGAAAATATGCTTATAGCTGACCCACTATAGAACTTTCATGTTGTGTTATGTATAGATGGGACACTTTTAAGTCCTCTGCATACCAACCGAGCATATCAGGGAAATACTAAAACAGTACCTTCCTTGTGGCATGCTAGTTTTGATATTTAAGTGTCAATTAACAATTGAATGTCTTTTGTTGAAGTTGCATAGTCCATTACTTGCTGCCAGGGTCCAACAGCCTTTAAATATATTTAGGCTATTTCTTGAAAAGCTTCCCAACACTCAGCCATCTAGGGGAATGTTTTAAAACACAAGTTCAATCTTTAATATTTGCAAAGTGGGGAGACCGTGCCTTTGCCCATAGGTTGAATACGTTTGTTTAAAACAGTGGTTCTCAACCTGTAGGTCCCCAGGTGTTTTAGTCTACAACTCCCAGAAATCCCAGCCAATTTACCAGCTGTTAAGATTTCTGGAAGTTGAAGGCCAGAACATCTGGGAACCCACAGGTTGAAAACCACTAGTTTAAAAGATTGTGGGATACAATTGGATGCTTGTTAAATTGAAGATAAAAGGAAACAGATGTCTTCGCTTTTTTGGTCACACTGTTTGTGCTGTTGGATTTTATCATCCAGTGTGGTTGCTCCACAATACCAGGTAATAAGAAAGGTTTAAATCTGCCAAGGCCCTGACATAGGAATAGACTTTGTAGTAGTGCACGACTACAACCATCTTTTCCCCTTAGGTTGGTAGACATATTTGCATTTCTTTTAAATCAACCAATTTCTCCACAATTTCTGAAATAGTAGTAGTCAGATTGTGCCACTCTTCCTGAATAAAGGAAGATGGGTTACACAATTCATGGCGAGTAATTGGTTTTCTGAAGTTGTGTATTGTGCAATGTACACAAAGTTTGTGTGAGCTGTGAAGTCCCTGATCAAGTGTGTTCTATCTCATATGATACATACTACATAAAGAAGACGCGAGTTCTCTCTTATCCTGCCAGTTCCATTGTATCCCATCCCCATTGTTGCTTTTACACATTGAAAAACGAATGTCCTCAGCACAGAACCTGCTATCCTTGATTAAATTCCCAATATAATTTAGAACCTCATGAAATCATGGAAGTTTCCAAGTCTCATGGGAAACCTGGTCCGATATAGCTGGCTCCTGATGGCAGTGCTTTGCCTGAGAACACATGTCCAGTTCTTAGCATGATCAAGGCCAAATTAACACATGAAACGTATTGGTGGAGCATCTGTCGATGAACCCACTCTTGATTTTAGTCAAGTATTTAAGGGAGCTAACTGCTGGACTATGTACAGGCTCAGGATGAGGACTCAGCATAGCTCTTTGCCTTGAAAGAGTGGCTTTGTTGACTTTGAAGCCATCAGCCACTACAGTTGAAACCTTGAATTGTGTCATATTCAAGAGACACCCATAGCATTACTTGAATTCATATTATTTTAACCATTATATAAAATGTGAAATTTAATAGTTTCTTTATATTTTGAGGTCCCTCCTAATCAGAGGCCCTGAAGTTTAGGTTATATATGCATCTTGTGGTGAGCATATTGGAGGATTGTGCAGGCTTATAAATGTCTTGCCTTCCATTTCTACTCGTGTGAGATGAAATGACTTGAACTATGGCTTAAGCTGTTAGTGAAAATATCAAGCTCCTAGCACAGTGGTTCTCAACCTGTGGGTCCCCTGGTGTTTTGGCCTATAATTCCCAGAAATCCCAGCCAGTTTGCCAGCTGTTAGGATTTCTGTGAGTTGAAGGCCAAAACATCTGGGGAACAACAGGTTGAGAACCACTGACTAGTTAGTATGTGTCTTCTGCCATCAGAAACCACAGCGACCTTTTCTGGAGGCTGTATAATAGGCCCTTGCTATCTGCTGGGGTTTGGTTCAGGGACCCTCCATGAATACCAAAATCCATGGATGCTTAACTCCCACTATGTATATGTGTGTGTGTGTCACTATGTAACTTTTTTTTTGTTCCTGGGTTATTTCCTAATACATTTTATTATAAAAAATATGGGGAAAGTTTATTAAATTGTTCTTGTGGGACATCCTGCAGCACATTTTGCTATAGCTTTTCAATGAATATCTCATCTACTCAACCCAATTCAACATCGTTTGTGGCAGCCACAAAAACAAAGTTTCTGGAATATAACGACTTTCAAAGCAAGTACTGCACAAATAAACAGGAAATAGCACTTTCAAACCAGGAACTTTTTTTTTTCAAATTTTGTTACATAGTGTAATGAGGTAGTTAAATAGTGTCCCTTCAATGAAATGGCAACATCAAGGTCTGCGTTGGGGGGGGGGGGGTAGTATTTTCAAGCTTTGGGTATTTAAATCATAAATGCAGAATCCCTAGTTATGAAGAACCAACATGACATCAGTTTCAGTACAATTCTAGTTTTCTTCTAAAGGAACCTCCAAACTCTCATGTTAAAATATCCAAGAATGTGTGGGGAAGGTCTGCAATTTGTTGGTAAAGCAATGCTATGTTAGGTTAACAATTCAATCTTGACATCTGCAAGATTGGAGGTTTGTCATGTGAGATCAGTTGTCAGTCAATATAAAGACAAGCTGAGCTAGATGGTCCAGGTAGTAACGTGCTGATGTTTGCTTATACTGAATGTTAGAAGGTACCTTCAGTGAACTGGGTGGTGGGAGAAAAGAAGATGGTTGCCTTTGTAAACTATGCAATCTCTTTCAGACCAGCTTTTCCAAGAAAAATAAAACATGTCTGTATATCTATACTTAATACTCTCAAATAAAAATACACTTTTCTTAAACAATTTCCTACCTTTAAATAGCATTGTATTTTCATTGTAACGTTTTGTCAATGCAATCACTATGTTATTCCAGCAGGGGGAGGTAGATTCAAACATTTGTAAAAATAGTGTTCCAATAATGTAGGTTTCACAGCTTTAGCCACTGGCTCTCCAACTTCTGGGGACCCTTCCTTACAGCCACATAACCCAGAATATCAAGGCAGAAAATCCCACAATATCTGCTTTGAACTGGATTATCTGAGTTCACAGTGCCATATATTCCAGTACAAAGCAGATAATGTGGGATTTTATTCAGCTGTGTGGAAGGGGCCTGGAATTTGAATACCAAAGTATGTGATGGCCCAAGACTTTCCACCTTTGACCTGGACCATTTTATGTCAAATTTCAGATCAGCCACATACTTATCTGAGCCTCAGCAGTAGGTTAATGAGTGACCTAAGACCATTCAATGTGTGGTTTCTTCCCAAGTTGAATTGGAATTTGGATCTCAGAGCTTGAGATTTCAAACTATAGCTTCCAGAATCCCCAACTATGTGCTTCCTGATGTTATTTTGATAGACTGCTGCACCACATTCATTCATTTTCTCTTTTCTACTTTTTATTAATTCTAAATTATTATTTTTTAGTATTACAACATCATTTCTATAAAACTTTCCTAAGTGTTAATAATTGTTTACCTTGTATTTTTCCCCAGGTCTTTGATTTCCTCAGATCAAACGTTTGTTTCCAAAGTTTTCATTTGCATAGATATTTTGTATCTATTTGAAAGTAGCTTTCTCGTGTTTTATTCCTAACAAAACATCTACAGCTTTGTAAGCATTTGTCATCCTATTGTGTTCTGCAGGCTTTCAAATTTTGTCACACTGTTTGGAAAACAGCATGGCTTTCATACTTGTGTCTGTCTAAGTGCTGAGTCTGTCTCTTGGTTTGTAGACTTAGAGTAATGTACTTTCGAAGTAGACATTATGCGCAACCTGCTCCGGATGTTCACCATTTTTCTTTTTTTCCTCATACTGTCCTCAATGAACCTTTCTTGATTTCCTAACTCAGTTTTTTCCCAATTCTGTCATTTCTATTTATTCTATTTTTTCAAAATGTTATGAACATCTAATTTATGGTGTATCATTATGAGATATCCTGGAGGTGGAACCCAAGTTTAAACAGATTTTTATTTTCATTTTCTACACACCTTTTACAGGTTGGGCCAAAAGTCACAGCCTGATGTTTTCATCATACAGGGAGACACTCATCAGGGTTGCAGTAGGGAAAGAAGGATTTAAAGCCTTGCTTCACTTCACTTCAATTTTTTTCTTAATTAGTCGCTCTCCGCCAAGGTGCTCCGAGCGATTTACAATTTAAAATAGCATTTACACAATATAAAAACATTCAACATAAAAACATACAACAGTGACTATTTGCTCCTATGCGCCACCATCCTGATGAAAACTTTGGAGAGCAGTTGTGGCTATTAACTTTTTTTTAAGGACTTCAAGATACTCCTTTAGCTTGTTGTACAGTCTGTTTGCATCATGAGCATGTCAATGGAACAATATGTTCACAAATCTATAAACAAGGGATGTCAAACGTATTTTCGTTGAGGGCCACATTAGCTTTATGGTTGTCTTCCAAAGCTCAATCCATGGATGGAGAATCTGGATTTTTTAAAACATAGTGATTAGTGCTCTTTAGTTTTTACCTAATTTTTGTCCCCAGATGTTATTGAATGACCATTCCCATCACTTTTGATTATTTGGGATAATGGGAATAGCAATCCAACAGCACTTGTGGCTCAGAGTTTGGGGAAATGTTAGAGGAAATGTTAAAGCCAGACATTATATCCAGAAGCCTAGTATCTAAACTCAGACCCCACTATCTTGACTAAACTGAACAAGCTGCAGCCTTCCAGATGTTGCTCTATCACTACTCCCATCAGCTCTAGTCCTGATGTCTAATGATGAAGAATACAGGTGTTGTAGTCCAGGATCTGTGAGGCCACATAAAATGACATGGTGGGTCAGATGCAGCCTGCAGGACTTTATTTAATCGTGTCAGAAGCGACTTGAAAAACTTTTCATTGGAAGCTGGAGCTGACAGGTAGAGCTCACCGCATCTCACAGAGCTCCATCAGCAGTTCAGCTGGCACAAGATTTAACCCATTGCACCACTGCAATCTTAGCTCACCTATAGCTACACAGAACTGTCTCCCCTCCTCATCTGCTCTCTCACCTAAGTACAGTATTAGCTTACGACATAATATCACCTAGTTGTTGTCATCTTCAATCTCATTCTCTGCAGTTTTTTCTTGCTAGTTGGCTCCCTCTTCCTCAACAATTTCCTGTATATTCCTATACTTTACAGCAGGGAGAGGGAACCCTTGGCCTTTCAAATGTTCAGTTCCCAAAAACTCCAAAAAGCATCTTCAATAATTGAAATTTAGAAAGTTTTAATCTAAACACAAATCCAAGTCAAGTTTGTTCCATACCACTTCTCCAGTGGTCTTTGCATATCTAAACCTTTCCCATTTGTTTGTTTATTGCAATACATCTCTGGACACATTGGCACTGATATTTGTTCTTTTCTAATTCATGGCATTTGCCAGAGAGTAAAGACGTTTGGCGTTCACTACTGCAACCATACCTGAAAAATATACACAGAAAATAATGCATGTGGTCTGATGCTAATATTAAAATTTGAATCACCTTTCAAAAGATCAGATATCCCTTTCAAGTTACAGTTCAGGTCAGGATGAGCTGCATCTGTAATTCAATGAATGCTTTTTTGTTGTTGTTGTTGTTCGTTTTTCTGTTTTAGTTCCTTTTTCAGTATTAATTATAGTGCCTAAATTCTGGGAAATCCACCATGTCATCAGTGCCTACACACCATACATTATAGACAAATGCATATACTTTAGGCATAAATGGCCATAACAGAGTTAGGGTGGGTTCATTGCCTGATAAGGAGACATTTCAATTCAATTATCCTACACTTGTTGGGAGACGTTGGATGCAGCCTGTTGTCACAATGTGAAAAATTGATTTATCATTTTGATAACAATATTTCAATAGTAAATTATTGTTTTGATAGCACAGGTTTGTTGTTCATTCGTTCAGTCGTCTCCGACTCTTCGTGACCCCATGGACCAGCCCACGCCAGAGCTCCCTGTCGGCCGTTACCACCCCCAGCTCCCTCAAGGTCAGTCCAGTCACTTCAAGGATGCCATCCATCCATCTTGCCCTTGGTCGGCCCCTCTTCCTTTTGCCTTCCACTTTCCCCAGCATAATTGTCTTCTCTAAAGCTTTGCTGTCTCCTCATGATGTGGCCAAAGTACTTCAACTTTGTCTCTAGTATCCCTCCATGAGCAGTCGGGCTTTCTTTCCCGGAGGATGGACTGGTTGGATCTTCTCGCAGTCCAAGGCACTCTCAGAACTTTCCTCCAACACCACAGCTCAAAAGCATCGATCTTCCTTCGCTCAGCCTTCCCTAAGGTCCAGCTCTCACATCCGTAGGTTACTACAGGAAATACCATGGCTTTGACTAGGCGGATCTTTGTTGCCAGTCTGATGTCTCTACTCTTCACTATTTTATCGAGATTGGACATTGCTCTCCTCCCAAGAAGTAAGCGTCTTCTGATTTCCTGGCCACAGTCTGCATCTGCAGTAATCTTTGCACCTAGAAATACAAAGTCTGTCACTGCCTCCACGTTTTCTCCCTCTATTTTCCAGTTGTCAATCATTCTTGTTGCCATAATCTTGGTTTTTTTTATGTTTAGCTGCAACCCAGCTTTTGCGCTTTCTTCTTTCACCTTGATTAGAAGGCTCCTCAGCTCCTCCTCGCTTTCGGCCATCAGAGTGGTGTCATCTGCATATCTGAGGTTGTTAATGTTTCTTCCAGCAATTTTCACCCCAGCTTTGCATTCATCCAGCCCCGCACATCGCATGATGTGTTCTGCATACAAGTTAAAAAGGTTGGGGGAGAGTATGCAGCCTTGCCGTACGCCTTTCCCAATCTTGAACCAGTCTGTTGTTCCATGGTCAGTTCTGACTGTTGCTACTTGGTCCTTGTACAGATTCCTCAGGAGAGAGACAAGGTGGCTTGGGATGCCCATCCCATTAAGAACTTGCCACAATTTATTATGATCCACACAGTCAATGCCTTTAGAATAGTCAATGAAGCAGAAATTGATGTTTTTTCTGAAACTCCCTGCCTTTCTCCATTATCCAGCGGATATTGGCAATTTGGTCTTCGTTCCTCTGCCTTTTCTAAACCCAGCTTGTACATCTGGCAACTCTCGCTCCATGTATTGCTGGAGTCTTCCTTGCAGGATCTTGAGCATTACCTTACTGGCATGAAGAAATAAGGGCCACTGTACGGAAGTTTGAGCAGTCTTTCGCATTTCCCTTTTTTGGTATGGGGATATAAGTTGATTTTTTCCAGTCTGATGGCCATTCTTGTGTTTTCCATATTTGCTGGCATATGGCATGCTTCACCTTGACAGCATCATCTTTTAAGATTTTAAACAGTTCAGCTGGGATCCCGTCGTCTCCTGCTGCCTTGTTGTTAGCAATGCTTCTTAAGGCCCATTCAACCTCACTCCTCAGGATGTCTGGTTCTAATTCACTCACCACACCATCAAAACTATCCTCGATATTATTATCCTTCCTATACAGATCTTCTGTATAGTCTCCCACCTTCTCTTGATCTCTTCAGCTTCTGTTAGGTCCCTGCCATCTTTGTTTCTTATCATACCAATTTTTGCCTGAAATTTACCTCCAATGTTTCTAATTTTCTGGAAGAGGTCTCTTGTCCTTCCTATTCTGTTGTCTTCTTCCACCAGCACAGGTTAGGTATCCCTTATCCAGAGTGCTTCAGACCAGAAGTGTTTGGGATTTGGCATACCTGTATTTGCATATACATGCAGAAGGAGATATTCTGGAGGTGGACCTCAAATTTAAACAAGACATTCATTCATTCTTTATATACACCTTATACATGTCACAGGGTAA